CTGTTCACATTTCCTTGTTTTGTCTTGATGTTGTGTGTATGTGGTTTTTTTTTTTTAAATAAAAAGTGCTGAACTTGGGTTACAGAAATTTCATTAGAAAAAGGGAGCAAACAGTAACAGATTCATTCTTGTTTTCCCTTCAGGGATAATTTATTAATGTCTTCCCTCCCTTTTCCTCCCCCTCCACAACTCAGCTTTACAAATATGTTTGATTATCTTCAAATTTCAGGAAAGCAAATAGCAAAAGGAAATATATTTTGTCATTCCAGTCTACCTTGAATTTAAGCTTCTAGTGCAGGAGTTGGCAAACTACAGCCATCAGGCCAAATCCAGCTGGCCACCTGTTTTTGTAAATGAAGTTTTATTGGAACACAGCCATGCCCATTCATTTATGGATTGTTAATAGCCACCCTCACACGACACAGCAGGGATTGAGTGGTTGTGACAGAGACCTATGGCCTGCAGTGCCTAAAATATTTCCTATCTAGCCAGGATAGGATTAGGATCTGAACATTCTTTAACATGGCAAGGCTTACAATTGATTGGCTAATAGCTTTCAAATCATATTTATTATATTTTTTCTGCAGCCTATAAATAGCATTTTCTACAGTTTTTCCCCAAATATTTGCTGAAAGTATCCCCTGGCATGAGGCATTGTATATTACTGAATTCTAGTACAAGCCAAGGAGATCTGGAATGAGAAAGGACAGCTTATCAACAGGTCAAGGTCAGGTTCCTGCTGCTCTGGCTGTATGATCCTGAGCGTAGCAGGACCTCACCTAACTGGACCTCAGCTTTCTCCTTTTTCAAATGGACAAATTCAGTCACGTTGATATCTAAGATCTCTTCTACCTTGAAAATTTTACAAAGTAAGTCAGACTTGAAAGGTACAAAAGAAAAGAATATTATCAAAATATATTTTTTAATTTTGAGGGAAATTTTTTAACTGCAGAAGCAGGACCAAAGAGAAATATCTGGTTCCTAAAGAAACAAGCTAAAATGAGAATTCCTGCTATGTTTATTTTTATGTCACTATGAATTTTTTAAAAAATATCTATTTACAATTTCTATGTGCTAATTTAAATATAATACTTCATTATTTTTTGAGGAAGCATTTATTAAATATCTACTGTGTACTCAGCCCCATGCTAGGAGCTGTTATCTAATGTCAAAGAACTCAAGAGTTTGGTCATGGAAAAGAGAAAGAAGCACTTAAACAGCATGTTCTATAATCATGTACCTCAGACAGCCACTTCCTTCTTGGCTGTTAATGCCTTTGGTGTGGCAGGCATCCCTGTGTTGGCTCTGTCCTGCATTGCAAACCTGTGGCTTCTGCATTTTCAGTGTACTCTGCAGCTGGTCTTGGCAGCATCCCCTCAGCTCCTGCCCCCAGCTGTGCCCCACAGCTCTTTACTTCTGAGTCATCCTGCTCTTTGCAGGCAGCCCTCTTGGGCAGGGCTCCATCGAGGTGGCTCCAGCCAGGTTAGCTTCTGCAGCATCTCCTTGACTTACGAGAAACACACATGTGCTTGCCACAGTACACATACAGTCATAGAAATTGAGGGGGAAAAGGAAGGTTGGCATATTATATATATATATGTGCATCTTGATAGTCTTCAACTTAGGGCTACTCACTGAGATCATTTCCAGTTGATATTGCTGAGGACCAAACTACTCTCAGGTCTCCAGAGGGATCAAGCCTTCATAAGTTTCTGAGCCTTTGGTTATACATGTCTTTGGCATTTGTGAGCTCTTTGAGGTCAAGAACTCTCATCTTTTTCATCTCTGTAATCCTAGTACATAGAACCCCACTGCTTAGTGCATAGCAGCATCTCAATAAATATTGGGTGGATGGGTAGATGGATGGGTAATGTGGATGAGCCAACAAAGGGTCACTTCTTCCCTCTAATGGTGACAAAATGAGCCCATTCCTCACCTCTTCCTGCTTCAGTTCTAACTTGCCCTTTTGGTTAATGAGCCAGCAGTTGAGATTTACCATGTCCTCTTAGCCACATGGACACCATCTTTTCCATCCAGTGCCTGCCTTGAGATCTCCAGTCCTTGTGCTTTCCTAAGAGCTGGGGAGGCAGAGCCCAGTGTCCCCTCCTCAGGCAGAAGGCCCCTTCTCTTAATTCCTTCCCGCTGTATCTGCCTTTCATATTAAGTATCTCACCTCACCCTCACCCTACTACTAGTTCCACTGAACTTTAGGTGAATGTGTGATTGAATTTGATCAGGCCAAACAAAAGGAGCAGAAGAAAATTTGGTCTGAGCACCTTCCTTGGAGCAGGGCCTTGAAAGTATTGAAACTCCAGGCACCTGCATGCCACCTATGAAGTCGTTGTAAGGCTAGAACAGTGGTTCTCACTTTACCACTCTGTGCCTCAGTTTTCTCATCTGTAAAGTGGGAATGATAGGAGTAACAACCTCATAGGATTTTTTGAGGTTAAATGAGTGAATATATGTTAAGAGCTTAGACTAATAGCTGTCATCTAGTAAGTGTTCAATAAAAGAAGCAGTTATTGTTACTATTAGTAGTACTATAGTTATTACTCTCAAAATTTAGCACTGGACACAAGATTTATTAAATACCTAAGGAGTTTATTAAAGCATAGATTTCTGGACCTCCTTCTTAAATTCTGATGCAGTAAGTCTGGAGTGGGGCCCAAGAATCTATGTTTAATAAGCACCCCATCTGATTCTGCCACAAGTCCTCAAGAAACTACACTGATATAAGACATAAGGAACTATACTTGGCATAGCAAAACCAAGATAAAAATAAAAAGTCTCCAATTTGGGGAATTGTGGGATTTTTGTTGCTTTGTGAGTAAAAATTGATATCATTTGTTAGATGTTTAAATAGAAATGATACCAGGCATGGTGGCTCACGCCTATAATCCCCACACTTTGGGAGTCCGAGGTGGGAGTATCGCTTGAGGCCAGGAGTTCGAGACCAGCCTGGGCAACATAGCAAGACCCAGTCTCAACAACAAATAAAAAATTTAGCTGGGTATGGTGGCGTGGGCCTGTAGTCCCAGCTACTCAGCAGTAGGATCACTTGAGCCTAGGAGTTTGAGTTTACAGTGAACTATGCTCCAACCTGGGTGACAGGAACAAGACCCTGTCTCTCAAAAAAATAAATAAATAAATAGAAACTAATCCTAATCATAGTTGCAAATGTTGAAAGCAGTCTTAGTCATAGTCCTTGGTCAAGAAAAAGGCAAAACTTAACAGTTTGTGGTGGAATTAAACATTATAAAGTGATGGTGCTGTCTACCTGTAAAGCCTTGAATTAAATTTGCTTCTTTTTCTAAACAAGTTTGTGACTTTTTAAAAATCTTTTTATTCATTTAGGTTATTTAATCTTTCCTTGATCATTAATATTATGACACGTCCGGTGATGACTAAATGTCTTTTTTAAGTATTATGTATTTTTTTATTGTGATAAGAACGCTTAACATGAGATGTACCCTTTTAACAAATTTTTAAGTGCACGATACAGTACTGTTAACTACAGGGATAATGTTGTACAGCAAATCTCTAGAACTTACTCATCTTGCAAGTCTTATGTATTTTAAATGTATTTTTCTATAAACTATGGCTTCTTAGTTTTTCAGTGTTTTGTTTGGGTATGGTTTTTTTTTTACTTTTTAAATTATATATGTACAGTATTTCATTTCTATAGGCTAGTCTGAGAACCTAATCACTATTCATAACATTATTTCCATAGGAAAATATCCCCAATTCCACATTTTAAAATTGGTAATCTTTAGAGATAGAAACCATTCAGAAGATGGAGACTGCCCATGTATATTCTACAGGAATTTTGGCAAACTTTTGTGAACAGCCACAAATTACTAGTTCCCTAAAATGTTAAATTAATGTCATAAACAGAGCAGTATTTTACTAGTGTACTTATACTATATATTTAACCTCCGATTTAGTAGTGCTTTCTTAATGCCGTTTAAAAATGGTGCCTGCTCTATCTTCACATTGTTCTTGTTAGGCATTTTTATGTAGGATGTGGCCCAAATATTTACAAGTCATAAAGATTTATCTTGCATCAGTATAAACAAATCTGACTATAATCTGAAGAATGTTTACAGTCAGTATTTGACCTCTCAGCTAGCACTGGTGAACAGAGCAAGCGAAGAAAAAAAGAACAAAACCAACAACAAAAATCCCCACCTATTTTAGAGAAGTTAGGAAATAGAAGCATTCAGACTAGCCAAGGTCATTTTTAACTTTTCGCTTTTCAAAACAGACTGATGACTATGAAACATTTTATATGAGGTAGAAATTAATATTTTAATTCTATTTATAAACTACAGAGATTTGTTCTCTAACGAATTGAGTTAATGTTCTTCAGAAAGTTAAATTTTGGATTATTTAAGTTTGTGGGGTTTTAAAAATATATTTAGTTTCTTTTCAGTATCTTCTCACACTCTGAATTTGCAGAGTCAAAAGGAAAAAAGTTTATGTCCTTGACTTCTGCTGAAGGATGCCAGCACTGATCTGTTAATGAACAGCCCTAGTAAAACAAGCATAAACCTTTTGTGAGAACATTCCTTCCTAGAAGGAGTTGGGTTTGCCCTTTCCCAAGATTTAGGTTTCTGTGAAAATTCTTTCAGACGTGTCTTGGCCAGAAAGCATTCTTTCATTTTACTCCGTATTCGTGTGATTGAAAGTTGCTTCTGTCAGAGGGAAAAAACACTGGGATTTCCGAAATATTGACGAATTTAAAATGACAAGGAAATTGCCACATTGACAGAATCTTGGTCTGTCTATTTAAAGATGATTTTTTAAAAAGATATGAGTAAGATTCATATTCTGACAAGTTTCATTGAACGATTAAGAGGTTATTAACAAGAGGATCCCACTGAAACCATCAGCCTGCCTTTTTAAGAGGAAAATATTGTTTAGTGAAATAATAAATATGAAGCTCTGAATTTTAGCAAAGAATTATGAGTATTGATTGGATTTTCTTCTTTGATTTTTAGCTGTATGACAAAATTAACACAAAATCTTCACCACAAATCAGGAATCCTCCAAGCGATGCCGTGCAGAGAGCCAAAGAGGTAAGTGATATATTTTGTCAAAGTATTTGGTGTCATCGTATTTGCTGCCTTTATTGAAGACGTTTCTGCTGCACATTTAGAGGCGGTTTCCTCGGAGTCACAGTTTGACTCATTATACTCAGATTTAGTATTTCCACGTTTATCACTGAACATGCAGAAAAGAAAAAAATCTTAGTAGCAGTATTGCCTGGATTTCTAGTTCTGGTCTTGCTATGTAAACTTGAATACATTAATATCAATTTTACTTCTCTTTTTCTTTTTTTAAAGAAGAAAGTTATTTTACTGCACTTGGTAGAAAGACACTTATGAAAATTCGAGTTGCTTTTTTAAGGTGGTAATGTTTGAAAGTTAATTAAATTTCTGTAGCAATTGTATATACTGAGTTCAAAGAAGTCATTTTTATAAATTGTCAATGTAAATGGCTATATCTTTAATTTATGTATGATAGAAACATGACATTGCAGAAAGTTTAGAAAATAAAAACTGATCTTTAATCATATCACTCTAACACAATAGTTTTCATTTTTGCATATCCTTTTCTAGTCACTATCTATTTGCATATAAATTTTTATATAGTTATAATCAAAATGGATCTTTTTTTAACCTAACATTATATAATAAGCATTTTTTCATGTTTCTACTTGGTCTTCGTAAATATAACTTCTAATGACTGCATACTTTTTCTTTGTTATTATTAAATTATAATGTATTAGCAATTCCCCCATTGTTAGGCACATAGGTGTTTTTCATTTTTTGATCTTAGAAGTCATTATGCAAAAAAATCCCTTTAGAAAAATGTTTCCTGTAAAGTGAGATTACTAAGTGAAAAACTATGAAAGACGTAATCTCTTCCCTACCAGATTTTAAACATAAGACCTACACTGGAAAATAATTGTTTATTCATTGAGAAACGAGACCAATGCCATGGAGGCTGCCAGACCTCCCCCGTTGGTCAGGAGAGGAGCTTGGAAAGGTTGTCCCTGACTTGGCCCACTAAGCGCTCATTGAAAGGAATTACGGTATCACAGACAGTGGGCATGAGTCACCACCCTATCTTTATAATATCCAAATAGATAGAAGCAGAGAGACTCTGGGGACAATTCTTTGGCTCAACTGGACAGTGAAAATCTGCTGAAGATTTCCAGCCAGCTGTGCTTAGGAGACCACACCTTTGTGCTCAGGGGCCATGCTAATCTTCTCTGTATTGTTCCAATTTTAGTATATGTGCTGCCGAAGCGAGCACAGGAGACCACACCTTTGTACTTAAAATCATAGACTGTGAGAGTAACAAGGAACCAGAGAAGAGTATGTGGTTTCATCCTTTCATTTCATTGGCAGAGAAACTCAAAACATAAAATACACTAGGGAGAATTGGTTTATCATCAGTAAACAATATGAATTAACAGCATAACCAGCACTCATTAACAGGGCATTTGGATAAGAAAGAAAGCCTGTAGTTTTTGTTCATTTGTTCTTCCCTGAGATAGTGGTTGATTAGCACAGAACATTATAGTTATGATACTGAAATCTAAGCTCAGGCTAAGTGACCTCACAACATACCCTCCTGCCCCAGTATGACGCTTTTGTAAGGTTCTCGCAGGTTGAGGTGAGAGAGTCCTACTGGGTAGATGGTGGTGTACCCCTGCCATGCAGTCGTGCTGAAGCGATCCTTCATTGGGTCAATGGTTGGCATTCAGTGGAGTACAATGTATAAAACCTCTCTGTGAATCCAGCCATCTGCTGTGAGAATAGCAGCAGGTATTTACTCAGAAAAAGAATAGAGGCTCTCCCATGGGCTCACGCATGTCCCATAAACAAGCTAAATGGGTAAACTCTTTCCTAGTGATAAGGGAGAACTTTTGAAGAACAATTTTATTTGAAAACAACCAATTTTACCTGTGCAGAGGAAATATTGACAACTAAATAGTGAAGAAAATTTGAATGGAAAGAGAAAAGAAGATTTTTTAAAATTGTTCTCTTAAGTTCCCTGGCATTTAATCTTAAGAGCCATTAGCAGAAGCATGCTTTGCTCTATGTAGGCAGATAAGTATGGAGGATAATGTTGATCCTGCCAGGCATTTTTGCATTTTCTACATTACTTAAAGGACAATTACTTAAGTATATTCTTAATTAAGTCTTCTAATTAATTAGTATTCTTCTTTAAATTGTTTTTATTTGTACCTATGTCATTTTGACATTTCTAAAAGGAATTAACAGTGCTGGTAATATAAAAGAAAGTTTTTTATTAACTTTTAGTACAGTTTGATTTTGATGGTAAGTTTGGAAAAAGATGTGTGGAGATATTCTCCCATTAAGTTACTTAAACCTATAATAAATATGTGTTAACAGCTTGTCATTTTGTTTTGTATTTTTCAATAACCTTTTTGGGTTACAGTTGGCAGACTATTATAACAATTTGTTTCATTTTTATTACCATCAATACCATTCTTTTATACATTAATAACCTTTGAATAAAATGAAATATTTTTTCAAAATAATTGTTTTGCCTGTCACAAAAGCCCACTCATAATTTTTAATTTAAAAAAATTCCGAGGCTGGGCGTGGTGGCTCTTGTCCCAGCACTTTGGGAGGCCAAGGCAGGAGGATCCCTTGAGCTCAGGAGATCAAGACCAGCCTGAACAAGGGCAAGTCCCCATTTCTACAAAAAAAAGAGAAAAATTAGCTGGGTGTTGTGGCACATGCCTGTAGTCCCAGCTACTCAGGAGGCTGAGGCAGAGGATCACTTGAGCCCAAGAGTTTGAGGTTGCTGTGAGCTGGGCTGATGCCATGGCACTCTAGCCTGGGTGACAGAGCAAGACTCTGTCTCCAAAAAAAAGAAAATAATTCTATATTTTGTAAATCGTGTGTCATGTTTACACTGTTATATATCTTGCTTATTTTGTAGGTATTGGAAGAAATTTCATGTTACCCTGAGAATAACGATGCGAAGGAACTGAAGCGTATTTTAACACAACCTCATTTCATGGTAAGTAACAATTAAATTTCCATAGAACTAAAATCTCACTTTCAAAAGAATTTTTTAATAACCCTCACAAAATACAGCCAGCTTCATCAAATGCATTTTTATCCATATAATATCAGACTGTTAAGATTACAATACCAGGTAATACCAAACACTTTAAGATTCTGTTTACTTTGTGTCAAAATCATAAAGATTCCATTTGTGAAGTGGCTTTTCAGGCACTGTGTACTCATCAGACAAGGAATTTGCTTCCTTATGGGACAGTCCTTAAGTCACTGGAACTGTTTATGTTACTTAAAGCACAAAGAGCTGAAATTAGAGACAACTTTTACTAATAAAGATTTCTCCAAATCTAGGTGATATATTGGAAGAATTACATTTCTTGTTTGACAAGGCAAAACTCTTGCACTTTCTTCATCCATATTTCTTCATTCACATTACTACTATATGGAAAATGAGGATAGCACCTGTATTTAACCATTTATTGTAAAGCTTAATGATTAAACAAAGCTCAAAATACGTAAGATACTTTTCTGTAGAAAAAGGTCCGTTATCTACTTAACTGTAATTCAAAAGCACAATTACAGATGGAATTCATGTTGAATATAACATTTTTAAAACATTAGCCATATTGGTACATGTGGAATATATGTGAAAACAGGAAAATTTAGCTGACTTCCCTTTGGGAGAAAATCTGACTTAAAAACTCTGTTCTTATTACTACTATTGCAGGTGATATTTTTTGAAATAATAGTGTAATATGTGTATCAAAGCACTTGCCTATGAGTTTTGATATACATGCCATTTTATGATACAGTGTTTTAAAAATTTTAACCCAGTTACTGAAATACATTTTTTTCCTCAAAGTAACCACCTATAAAGAAGCAATTACCATATTGACCCTCCCTAACTCTCCCACCCAAGCATTAAAGGCTGAACTCGAGTATGATATAATCTTTGAGACTGTTTGACTTTACTCTATGATAGCAGCACTATCTAGTGAATTACAGTTAGGAATACAGGTTCTATGCCTGTGGGTGAGTGTGTTTTTACAACTTATGTATGTAAACACAGAACTCAGTTTAAATCCTACTTCTGCTGTCAAAATCTCTCCTAACTCTCTAAAATCTACATTGAACTTTCTCTTCTCTCTTTTCCACTTGTTTGTATTCACCTGCGTAACATTCTTATACATGCTGGCATGCCGGAGTAGATCCTTTCCCTGGTGAATAGGCTTGGGCAGTTCTGTGTCCATCCACATCTCAGCTCAGTTTTGATGTTCTCATTCAACTTATGATCTCATTTAGTCATTGTTGTTATCTCTGTTTCCCAGAGCAGGAAAATGAAACAACTATATGCCTTCATTAGTATCTTCAAATTTGAGGAGTCACAAATATCAGGAGTTAAATTACCCTTCATATTATCTTATTCACTGATTGTTTCATACATATAGGCCAGATTATAATTCATTCCCCTTTAGATGTTATGTTTTCCATAGTAAAGAAATGGTTAAGGCTGTTAGTTCAGATGACCTGGGGTTGAACTCCAGTGTCGCTGCCCCATCACTGTGGACTCTGACTCTCTGAGCCGACCTCATCGAATTGGAATAAGAATTAAGTAGATGACATATGTACTGTGCTTAGCACAGTGCCTAACGTATGCTTAATGCCTAATAAATGTTAGCTAATAAATGTCATTAGTTACCCCATAGTATCTATCATGTATAGGGTACGTAGTAAGTTCTCAGTAAAATATCGAATTGATTAGGAACTTGCCCATTTGCAGATAGGTTAGCCTCTCCTTGACTGACCTGTGCAGTTTTGTATAGGTAGAAACAAGCATATAGTAACTTTGAACAGGCCAGGCACAGTGGCTCATGCCTGTAATCCTAATACTCTGTGAGGCCAAGGCAGGATTGCTTGAGGTCAGGAGTTTGGCCAGCCTAAATAAGAGTGAGACCCCATCTCTACAAAAAATAGAAAAATTAGCCAGGTGTGGTGGTGCACACCTGTAGTCCCAGCTATTAGGGAGGCTGAGGCAGGAGGATTGCTTGAGCCCAGGAGTTTGAGATTATAGTGAGCTATGATGATGCCACTGCACTCTATGCAGTGTAACAGAGTAAGACTCAGTATCAAAAAAAAAAAGAATAAATTTGGACAGACCTGTCTATTTGTAAATTGCTAAGTAACCTCAGCTCAATTCAGAGAATGATATAGGGCCGTTTGAGACCAACAGATCTTTCAAATTTGAAGTAATCCAAAGAAATTAACAAATACCCAAATAAGAGACTTTTTTTAAGATTAAAGGGTTTTTTCCCCAAAAATCATTAAGGCTCATATAGCCCCACGTCTCACAGCTTCTAAGCCTTGATTTGTTTTGCTTTTCTGAAGTCACATAGAAGTTAATATGTGCATTGCTATTAGTAAATATTTTCAGAAATAAATCTTATAATTTCTTGAATACCTAGCTAGGTGCTTAAAAGATGTTTTCATTCATTTATCAAATATATAAATGCCTACTGTGTACCAGGCACTAAGGATCTGGTAGTGAATAGGACAAACCAGATTGCTGCCCTCACGAAACTTCCATTCTAGCGGGGGTGAGTTGGGGAATGGGTAGGTGAGGTAGAGACAGACAGTGAGCAAGTAAACTAACAAGAGAATTTCATATTGTGATGATAACTATGAAAAAAGAAAGGATAGTGGGGCAGAGATGATAGTAAAGTGGGAGCTGCTTTAGATAGTCAGGGGAAAGCCCCTCTGAGTTAACACTTGGGCTGAGACTTGTTATATGAAAGAGCCAGCCCTGTAAATGTCCAAGCATGGGGAAAAGCAAATGCAAAGAAAGGCCCAGAGGCAGGAAGGAGCTTTGTAGGTTCAAGGCACAGAAGTAGGTCCATTGTGGCTGGGATAGAGTAAACAGAGAGAGAGCGGTACAAGAAGAGGCAAGAGAGGTCAGCAGAGGCCAGACCAAGAGTGGTCTTACAGGCCGTGGTAAAGAATCTGGAGTTTTCTCTTGATTACAATAGGATGACACTAAGTGATTGCAAGCAGGAAAATATTATCCAATCTGTGCTTTCAAGATTGCTAGGGCTGATGCGTAGAGAATGGACTGTAGGGGCATAAGAGTTAAAGGAGGGAGACCAATTAGGAGGCTGTTGAGAGAGGTGGTAGAGACTTGGAGAAAGATGAAGATGGTGGAACATGGGCAGATAGAGGTTGGAAATGGTTGAATACAACAGGACTTGCTGATGGTTGGGATGTGAGGTGGTGTGATTAACCCCATTTTACAGTTCAGAGAGGAAACTATGCCCTAACCAGGTAAAGAGACTTGCTTAAGGTCACCTACCTAGTGAGTGGCCTCAATGAGGTTCAAGCCAGAGCTTGCTGGCTCCAAAGCCCATGCTCTTAAAAGTGAGTTGATTTGTAATGTGGATCAGTTTTCTTATAAGCTTAAGTTGAGCTCATTGGTCATTTCCAAATAAACTTATATGTGGATAATGTTCCAGGTGGGAAATATAATTCTGAGCTATATATACTATATTAAATAAACTTTTAAATGCTGGAGCATTCTATCTTATAAGCGTTTTTAAAATCACGGTTTCAAAATCTTGGTATTTTAAAAGAAATATTAATAGCCAAAGGGAATCCTTTAATGCGTATAATTTTTTTATTATGCCAAGGTTTGGGAGTTATTCTTAGCATATTTATAATTTCACACTTATTTGCTTAGTTATCTGGATTTTTCTTTGCTTTCTGATCATTATAGCATGGGGATTTAACATTAAATTACCTGACACTTGAAAATACATATACTTGTAAATGTTTGCAGTAATGAAAGGGAGAGTAAATAATAGTAAATTTAAATGATTTTTAAAATCTGTATCTTTAGGGGTCATGATAAAAATATATGATCTCACTAATTACTTTTCAGTTATTCCATTTGAAAGACTGATTTTTTAAAAGGACAGGTCCTTTGCTTATTGCAGTTATGAAATATGAAACATTAAAGATAAATTCCTTATGTTTTAGCGGGATAGAAAGTTAACGCTTTAATTTCTGTCTTTGAGCCACCGCGCCCGGCCAAGAAATAGGATCTAGAACAGAAGATTTTTAAAACAAAATTTGCATCCTGTTTTTCCAAAAATAAGATGGTTAAAATCCCTTTGGGTTGTCATGAAATTTTCATTATTAAGTGGTAAATTTTATGGTTTGTAATTCAAAAGTCAGAGAAACCACTTTTCAAACCTAAAATTCACATTTTTTCCGTTCATTTTGAAGTAGTCAGGTTTTTTTCACTCTAGTCTGAAATTGTTAGCTGTCTTGCACGTGTCCTTACTACAATACAAAAAGTGAAAGTGTTTCTTTCCTGTTACATGATTCTTATGTAATTAAAACTAACAACTATTTCAGCCTAGTAATAATTGCTCAGTCATACCTCATAATATATTTGAAGAAAAATGTTCAAACTTTTATTTTCCTGTTTTTTATTTTACATATTTTTTAAGCTTTCAAAAAAGCAATCTGTAAGTGGCCCCGTTTTTTTCTGTTTGCATATGAATTAGAGCTTTAGGTTAAGTTTCATTTTGTGGTAACAATCTTACGGTGGCAAATTGTGGTTAATATCAAATATGACCTTATTTGGTGACATAATTAGAGCATTTTTCTTTTAAAGTTCAATTTGAGTATTATGATTGTGAGCTTATCCTTCCTTATAAATAATACATTAAATATAAGTGTTTGCTTATGTAATTGAAAAGATGAATAGAAATCATTTGCAGAAAGCAGCATAAACATTTTTTTTAGCCCATGTAATTTCAAAGACCAGCATTATCCTAATAAAAGCTTGGCTGTCTGTTTACCTGACGATACATCTTCCAGTCATACAAAGCATGTTATTAAAAATTGACTAATTGTGGAAGACACATTTATAGTTGATATGACGAATGTGATTTTAACAAATGAAGTTTGCCAGTTTGCCTGTTACTGATTTTTGCTTTTTGCCCTAAATCTTAGTCTCTTAAGTGGCCACAGTTAAACTGAGAAAAGAGTGATTTGCCCACATAGCACAAGCTCCACACTTGGACTCAGGAGAACTAGTGTAGGGTACAGTCAGGGTAGTGATGAGGAAACCAAGGTCTCCAGGGCCATTGTGGAGCCCTGCTTTCAAGCTATGCATTGCTGAGTGCCCCATGGGGTCCCTCACCCAAACCTGTTTAGACCAGCAATCCGAGACTGTGGAAATATCTGCCATTTCCACTAGAAAGCCAAATGACTACATTGCTCAAAGCGTATTCTCTACTGATGACAAATCAGCAGCATTCTTACCTTTTTTGCCTTGTATGCATGCCTTTAAAATTAAAATAGCCAAGTCATGACTTTGATAAGCCTTTTAATTAAATAACTTAATTTCAGATGCTATGGGTTATACTTTTAAAGCAATTTTAATTGCATTTCATTATCTGCAGATATTTCATTACCACACAGATCACAGATTGAAGCAGAACTAAATTTATAGTAAGCAAACAAGAAAATATAATCTGTATAAAGCTCCAAAATAGTAATACTGAGCTGTAAATTCTCTCTGAAACAGAAATGTTCAAATATTCATGCTTATTAAAAAATATTTCTTATGATGGCACGGAAAGTGAGTACAAGGATATCCCTTTTTAGGGAAACAAGGAATGTTTATTATCCAAGTTCACTGAGATGACATATACAGATATCCATTCAAAGAAATCACTTTTTGTTTGTTAATGAGCTTTGCAAAAAGAAGTCATCATAATAATTGTCAACTTATTTTTCATTCAGGCAAGTGCTCCAAAAAACAGAAACGAACAAAAATATTTAATATGTTAGATTGTAAGCTCTATATCCTATGTGATATTTTGGAAAATTATATTTTTAAGGTACATTTATATGTATTTTTACTTCTTTTACTAAATTATATGTTACAAATTATCTTCATCTTTTGGGTTATATGAAAATCTTATTGTTAATACCATTGACGAAAGATACTTGCTGAATACATCTTTTATTACACTGTTTTTACTACATTTGCTTCAATTTTAAGCCCCTGCAGAAATTTGCCAGCTCTATTTACAGGCGATTCTTTCTGCTAAATTATTTGAAATTGCATTGTGTCTGCCTTTATTTGAACAAGTTAGTTTGGTGCATTTTCATAGCATCAGACAACACCTCTGACCCAAGTAATCAACAAACACATATATTCATTGACTCATTCACTCGTTCATTCATTCATGTTTTTAAAAATCCATTTATCATGATTATTTGTCACAAATTGAGGTATGGTTGTATGTAGGTATAGCACACTCTTTAAAGGAGCTATACCTTTGAGAGGCAAAGAATGATATTATCTATTTTTATAGAATAAATTTCTGCTGGAATGGTAATGTTGTTAATATTTAATTTTCTTTATAAAATACAAGGCCTTACTTCAGACTCACGACGTAGTGGCACATGAAGTTTACAGTGATGAAGCTTTGAGGGTCACACCTCCTCCCACCTCTCCCTACTTAAACGGTGATTCTCCAGAAAGTGCTAACGGAGACATGGATATGGAGAATGTGACCAGAGTTCGGCTGGTACAGTTCCAAAAGAACACGGATGAACCAATGGTGAGTAGGAAAAGAAAGTTTTCTGTATTCTCATAAAATCGCATCATGAGTTAGATCAGTTAACTTCAACCTATGCTACTACAAGGTGGGGAAGGAAGGAGGACAATGGATAGTTTTAAAGAAATCATTTTCCAGATCTTCAATTCCCCCTGCCCTTCTTTCCTAGAATTGTTCTGCCTGACACCCTATCTTAGGCATGCTGGTTCTCTCTCTCACTTCTCCTTGCATAATTGCTCTTCAACCAAAACAGAGAGAGAGAGAGAGAATACTGATACATTATTCCAGAGTGTAAAAACCTCTGGGGCAGCAAACAACAAAGAAAGGGACAATTTGAAATATTGATATTGGTGTTGAGGCTATTATTGCAGTAATACAGGGAAGAAATGATGGAACTCTGAACTAGAGGGACGGATGTCAAGATGGAAAGAAGTGAACAGATGTAAGAAATAATGAAAGAGTAAAATCAGAAAGCCTTAATGGATTAACAGTGGGGACTGAGGAAGAAGCAAGGATCAAGGACAACCCTTAAGCTTTAGGTTTGTACAATTGAATGGGAACATCGGACAAGTTCCAGGTTTGGAGGAGAAATCATATCTTTAGGGGAAAAAAATTCAAACTTGCGCATTCATATCTTTTCCCAGAGCATATAAAAGGGATATAGAAAAACAAATTACCTACTTTAAAAAGTTGCCCAGTTTCCTTCCAGATTAAAGGAAGAGGTACAGAGCAGTGATTCTGTGACCATGATTTCCAGAGAGCCCTCAGCTATAGACATTTCTGGTTATAATTCTCATTTACTGTATACTGTTGCCGGTTAGACAATGGTGCAGCAGACAGGGAACATGCAGATCACCTCACCCTTTTTGGTGCTCCCCAGGCAACCATTTTGCTTAAGAACACAGGCAATAGCAGCTTTTGAGTGCCTTGGGCAAATCACTTCATGTCAGTGGGCCTCAGTTGACTCATCTCTAAATGTATAGTTGACTAAATGAGCCCCAAGATCCCACCTAGCTTTAAAAGTCTAATATTTCATTCACTCATTTAGCAAATATTTGTTAAGTCCCTACTAAGTACAAATCACTGTATTAGATGCCAGTGATTTAGTGGTAGATAAGACATGGCCCCTTCTTGGAGCTCATGTTCCACAGGGCTAGCTACATTAAGCAAGTAAATTTGCAGCTTAGCACAGTTTGTTTAACAAGCCCAGTTTTGACAGAGCTGGGAAGGAAAGAAGGCTGTGTCAGAGAGGCAGGAAGAAGGGGTGATGTTCAGCCAAGCAAAGCAGACAAGAAGGTGGAAGGGACTACAAAAAGGAAGCCCCAAAGTGTCCTATGATCATCATGTTCTAAAGCAGCCCAACCTTTCGTGTGAAGGCTGACTACATAGAAACTTAGACCGAGTAAAAGCAGAAAACTACGTCCCTGATGGGCATACTTACAGCCCTGACTTACGCATTATAAGCATTATGACAAAAACATTTGTACCCCCTTAATATTTGAAATTAAAAAAAAAGAAAACTACATCCCCGAGTTACTTTTTCAGAAAGCATAAAGTAGATTTGAGTCTCCCCTAAAAGTCTCCTTCAAAAAGCCCTTCTCTCTTCTGTCTTCTGTGATCCTAGTGAAGGTGTATATTTCTTCTCTTTTTGACTGGTTGCCATGAAAACAGGAATTATTTTGTGTAAAATATAAAATATGCATTTTTCAATAATAGAGTACGATTCTCTATTATATTTAATACAGCTTTATTTGCTTAGTTGTCTTACTCAAAGCATTATATTACTGTGCAGGACATTCCTATATGACCTTTTTTGCTTTTTGAACCCTCTGTAATATGTCCGTTCCCCAAAGTGATACACTCCCATTATACCCTGTGTGTTCCCGTTCATAGCATCATACTTGTAATTATTTATTCATTGGGATTCCCATAGTTGCAAATGACAAAGACCAAACTTGAACTAGCTTACACAATAGGGAAAAGACTTATATAAACAAGGAAAGGCCAGGAGTTTAACACCCCCCCCTTCAAGCTGATAGGTTCGGGAGTAGATGCCTAACTCAAGCTGGGCCAATCCCTTCCCTGGAATTTATGAACTTGGTAACAGAGAGAACATGAGTCAATTTCTCTCTACAGAAAAATGTTTGGGGCAAACAGAATAATAAATATTAACTGCAGTTGGTTTGAGGTGAACTTTTCCTAGCCACAAGAGACCCTTCATGTCTCATTTACTTCTGTGCCTAGCAGAGCGCCTGCCTCATAATAGATTCACATTAATGTCGGTTGAATGTATACAATGAATCTTATAGTTTCAAGTGTAGGACCTCTATTATACTATCATTTCCCTTATGAAATTAGATTTGACTTAACATTAATTTACAGCATTTTTTCAGGAACACTCCTCTTAGTAACCATACAAGTTGATTGAACGTACAAGTTGGAAATGAAACCTGAACATTACAATTGGATGTTGGAACTGAAAAAGTTTTGATAAACCAATTTTTCACATCATTCACCTACCGCTTCTGAAAACTGCAAAGTAGGAACCATGTGAAGTTATATTTTATGGAATGTCCAAGTTAAGTTAGAGTATAAAGTCTCAGATATTTTTATGAAGCTTTCTGTCAGAGTGTTATTCTCCAATGAAAAAGAAAAAGCTGAGTCCCTACCCTTCACCATCCGAAATTCAAGGCCACTTTCACTGAGGGAGCTTGTTTAAAAGCACAGATTTCTGGGCTCCATTCCAGGCCTCCTAAATCTAAATCTAAAGAATAGGTTTATGAGTCAGAATTGTTTACAAGTTCCCCACATGATTCTTAGGATCAGCCAGATCTAGTGCAAAAATATGTTTATGAATACTTGTTTTTTAATAGTGAATAACTGGAAAACAAAAAGTAATCTACTCTGTAGAATAGTATTCTGGCATCAAATATGACTATAGAACTTTCACTTCTGGCCAAGCTGAAGTAACGGACACCAGATTTACCCTCTCATCTGAAACAACCAAAAATATAAAAAACACAAAATTACATGAAAGAACAGTTTTCAAGACATTAGAGATCAAGCATCAAAGAAAAGCAATCCCTAAGAGAAGGGAAACAAACAAGGTGACCCCTATGAATACCCCATCTTACTACCTTAAGAGATTTTCCAGGCCACAGCATAAAGAGGGGGAACTGAGGCAGTCCAAGAAGACTCCCTGAATTGAGGAGACAGCTGAGAGTCTCGGGGGAACAAGGCAACTAGAGTTCATGGGATAGAGTACTGAAGAGGAGCGAGCTGCACAGAGAGAGAATCTCAGAGATCTGTAGAGGGCCTCTCTTAAGTATTCAGCAGAGAATCAGTCAGCATGTGTATGAGAGGAAACTACGCAAAGCTGAGGAGAAAACCATCCAAAAAGATTGGAAGGAACAGTATCCAACACTCACTACCTGTTTCCACCAGCCAGACTGAAAAAACTCCTCATTCATGGGACATCACGTAGAATGCTCAGGAAGGTCTTGCCTTAATAACGAGGAGTAATTAGCCCCAGACTGAGAATTGCTCCACACCTGCCTAACAAATCATGAAAACAAGACCCAAAGGATCAAACTATTTCCAGGCGACTGATCTATATCTCAGAACAAAGCTTAAGAATATTTATAGGACTACAAAAACATCAAGCATGCAATAAGGTAAAAGTCACAATGTCTGGCATCTAATCAAAGATTACTAGGCATGTAAAGAGATAGGAAAGTGTGATCTATAATGTGGAGAATTATCAAAAATGACACAGATATTAGAATTAGCAGGAAAATGCACTATGGGATTAATGGAAGATTAGACATTTCAGAAAAAAATTGTGAACTTGACATAGCAATAGAAACTATCCAAAATGAAACACACAGAGGAAAAGAATTTTAAAAAATGAAAAGAACATCACTGAGCTTTGGGACAACTTCAGGTAGCCTAATATATGGTTAATTGGAATCTGAGAAGAAGAGGAAGAAGAAGATATTTGAAAAAATAATGACTGAAGACATTCCAAACTTGATGAAAACTGTAAACCCACAGATCCAAGAACTGTGGTGAACCCCAAGCACAAGAAACATGAAGAAAACAATATCAAGGTGCATCATAATCAGACTGCTTAGAACCTGTAAAAAACAGAAAATCTTAAAAACAGCAAAAAAAAAAGGAAATGTTACATACAAAGGGACAAAGATAAGGATAACATCAGTATCTTATCAGAAACAGACCAAACAAGGATAACAATATCTTTAAAATAATTTTTAAAATTCTCAATTTATAATTCTAAACCCAGAAAAGGTATCTTTCAAAACAAAGGCAAAATAAAAACGTTTTCAGACATACCAAAGCTGAAAGAATTCAGCAGACCCACACTATAAGAAATATTGAAGTATATTCTTCAGACAGAAGGAAAATAATAGATAGAAATCTGAATCTACAAAAAGGGAATAAAGAGCACTGAAAACAGTAACTACATGGGTAAAGCTCTTTTTCTTATCACTTAAATCTCTTTCAGAGATACTTGTCAGTTTAAACAAAAATAACAATGTGTTTTGGGGTTTATGGCATATGTAAGAGTAAAATACATGACAACAATAGTACAAAGGTCAGGAGGAAAGAAATAATATACTATTATAAGGTTCTTTAATTATATGTAAATTGGTATACTGTCATTTGAAGATACACTGATAAGTTAAAGATATATGTGATAAGCCCTAATGCAACCACTAAAACGACAAAACAAAGAGTTATAGCTAATAGGAACACAGGAGAGAAAACAGAATAAAAAATAAATTAATACAAAAAAAGGCAGAAAAAGAAGAAAAAGGGAACATAGAATAAGTGGAATAAACAGAAGTCAAATAACAAGAAGATATATTTATGCCAAACTGTATCAATGATTATATTAAATGTAAATAGTCTACATTCCCCAATTAAAAAGTAGAGGTTGTCAGATTGGATAAAGAGCAAGATCCAATTATATACTATCTGTAAGAACTGCACTTTATACATAAAGACAAATAGTTTTAAAGTAAAAGGATGGAAAAAGATATGCCATGGTAACATTAATCAAAAGGAATCTGGAGTGGCTATATTAATATCAAAGCATATTCTCAGACCACAATAGGATTAAATTAAAAATGAATAACAGAAAGAAAAATCCCCAAATACTTGAAAACTAAATAACACAGTTCTGAATTACTCATAGATAAAAGAAATCAAAAGTGAAATTAAAAAATATTTTGAATTGAATGAAAATGAACCACAACAAATCAGAATTTGTGGGATGCCACTTGCTTTTTCAAAACATTCCTCAAACTGTGCTTTCCTCTAAACTCTACAACAATCAACACGGGAAATTTCTGTGACCAAATGTGGGGTTTTCCCCCACACACACCAAGCAGCAGATACCAGCTGAGCATCTTCTAATTCAATCACGACACTCCAACACTGTCTCCCTGGAGACAGTGTCAGGTCCCACGGGTTGAGGGCTCATTTCCCAAGACTGATTTCTCCTCCCCACCAGTTGCAAGTCCAGGCCTTGGGAACTTCTGACCGACTGGCTTCAAACTGGGCTTCCCGCGACCTGGGCACAGAGTTTCCATGCCTGTGCACCACCTTCCAGGAACCTCCTTGTGTTTGGCTGTCTGGAAGCTCTCCAAATCCTCTTGGGTTTTTATGGAGGTTTCATTACATAGGCATGATTGACAATGATGTAGAAAGGTGATTGGACAAAAAGCACATGATCTAAACCCAGTAAGGCCTGTCTGTTCAGCATTCTTTCCTCCAGGGTATGGGGTAGGACCCTCTCTGGAATGAGGGTCTTTTGACCCACAATCAGATTAGAGTCCTGCCTTGGGCAGGTGAAAGGAGGACAGGAGAAGATCAGAAAGAAATTCTGTTTCCTGAGACCTGCTCCTGAGGCCAACATCATAACAAGGACTAGAGGAGTTATGAGCCAGGGACTGTGGACAAAAACATATACACACATACATACATACATACATATATCATAACACCATACCACTAAAACAGTACTTAGGGAGAAATACATACCACTAAACACCTATATTAGAAAAGAAGAGGCCGGGCATGGTGGCTCACGCCTGTAATCCTAGCACTCTGGGAGGCCGAGGCGGGCGGATCGTTTGAGCTCAGGAGTTCAAGACCAGCCTGAGCAAGAGCGAGACCCCGTCTCTGCTAAAAATAGAAAGAAATTGGCTGGACAACTAAAAATATATAGAAAAAATTAGCCGGGCACGGTGGCGCATGCCTGTAGTCCCAGCTACTTGGGAGGCTGAGGCAGAAGGAACCCTTGAGCTCAGGAGTTTGAGGTTGGTGTGAGCTAGGCTGACGCCACGGCACTCTAGCCCAGGCAACAGAGCAAGACTCTGGCTCAAAAAAGAAAAAAAAAAAGAAAAAAGAAGAAACATCTCAAATCAATGACCTCAGCTTCCACCTTAAGAAACTAGAACCAAAAGGAGTAAATTAAACCCAAAGTGAGTAGAAGAAATAATGGAGATCAAAGTGGAAATTAATGAAATAGAAAACAAAAAAGTGATAGAGTATCAGTAAAACAAAAATAGTTTTCCTTTGAGAAGATCAGACTGATCAGGGAAAATGCACAATCGGGGAAAAAAGAGGGCACAAATTACCAACATCAGGCATGAGAGAAGTGGCAGAATCTGCAGATATAAAAAGGATAATAAGGAAATAAGATAAACAGATTTATGCTAATAAATTCAACAACTTAGATAAAATGGAAAAATTCCTTGGAAGACAGAAACTACAAAAGTTCATTTAAGAAAGAATAAACTGAATTGTCCTACACTATTTAAAAATTGAATTTGTAGTTAAAAACCATCCCTCAAATAAAACTCCAGGACAAGACAGCTTCATTGGTGAATTCTACCAAACATATAATAGGGAAGTAATGCCAATTCTGTATAAACTCTTCCCAAAACATTGGAAAAGAAGGAATTTTTCCCAACTCATTTTTTTTTTTTTTTGAGACAGAGTCTTGCTCTGTCACCTTGGGTGGAGTGCAGTGGCGTCATCATAGCTCACTGCAACCTCAAACTCCTGGGCTGAAGCAATCCTCTGCCTCAGCCTCCCAAGTAGCTGGGACTACAGGTGCGCGCCACCATGCCCATCTAATTTTTCTATTTTTAGTAGAGACGGGGTCTTGCTTTTGCTCAGGCCGATCTCAAACTCCTGAGCTCAAGGGATCCTTCTGCCTCAGCTTCCCAGAGTGCTAGGATTACAGGTCTGAGCCAACGTGTCCAGCCCCAATTCATTCTATAAAGCCAGCATTACCCTAATATCAAAACCAGATGAAGACATTACAAGGAAACTACAGACTAGTAGTCCTTATGAATATGCATGCAAAAATTCTAAACAGCATTTTAGAAAAACAAACCCAACAATATATGAAAAGGTTAATATGTGCTCACTTCACTAAAATATAAACAATACAGAAAATATTAGCATGGCCAGGCATGGTGGCTCTGACCTCTAATCCCAGCTACTCAGGAGGCTGAGGCAGGAGAATTGCTTGAGGCCAGGAGGAGACCAGCCTGGGCAACATAGCAAGACCTCTGTCTCTTAAAAAAAAAAAAAGAAAAAGAAAATATTATCGTGACCTTTGTACCTCCATATAAGGGTAATACACAAATGCCTGAAGTGTTCCATATCTTTAAAAGAGAAGAATATGTTATGACCAAATGGGAATTAACCCAGGAATACAGCTTTACTTATAATAGCCAAAAAAAAACAATTCAGTGGGTGAATGGATAAACAATCTGATATGTCCATACAATGGAATGCTATTCAGCAAGAACAAAGAATGAACTATTGATACATGCAGCAGTATGGTGGAATCTCAAAATAATTATGCTGAGTTTAAAAAAAGCAACAAAAAGGAGTACACACTATAATTCCATTTATGGACAGTGCAAACAAATCTATAGTCAGCAAAAGCTCACTGCGTCAGCTTTTTGACTGATCAGCAACTATCAGCTTTTTGACCAGCATATCAGTGGTTGCTTGGGAATGTGGTGGGTAAGACAGAGGGATGGGAGTAAATTACCAATGAACATGAGGAAACTTTTGGTGGTGATGAATATATTCATTATCCTGATTATAGTGATAGTTTCAAATTATCAAATTGTACACTTTAAATATGTGTCTGTCAATTATACATCAATAAAAACTGGTTTTATTTATTTATTTATGTTTTAGAGACAGAATCTCATTCTTTTGCCCAAGCTAGAATGCAGTGACACAATCAAAGCTCACTGCAGCCTTGAACTTCTGGGCTCAAGCGATCCTCCCACCTCAGCCTCCTGAGTAACTGGGACTACAGGCGCACGCTACCATGCTCAGCTAAATTTTAAAAAATTTTTGGTGGAGACAGAGTCTTGCTATGTTGCTCAGGCTTGTCTCAAACTCCTGGCCTCAAGCAGTCCTCCTGCCTCAATCTCCCAAAGTGCTGGGATTATAGGCATCAGCCACTACACCCAGCCAAAAACTATTTTAAAAAAATAATTGGCACACGGGCACATAGAATGATATAATGGACATTGGAGACTCAAAAATGGGGAGGGTGGAAGGGAAGGATAAGGGATGAAAAATTACCTATGGGGTACAGTGGACACTATTTGGGTGATGGGTACGCTAAAAGCCAAGACTTAACTACTATACGATATATACAGGTAACAGAATTCAATTTTTACCCCTAAATCTATTAAAATAAAAAAATAATAATTGACAATATGAAAAATAGAGCAACATGGAAAGTAATCATATTATAATTAGAAGATTAAAAAGCACTATATAAAATATATGTATACTATTATTATAACAATAAAAATACCAAAAATAGTATTACTGTCAAGGAGCAGTTTTGTGTGTGAAGGGTAATGGCTGGTCTTCTCCATTTTCCAAATTTTCTTTAATGTTTTCACTTTTGTAGTTAAAATTGTTTATGGCAAAATTACAAATATTGAAAGATATGCTCTCTCATAGTAATTCTTCTTTTACTGAATTTTTTTTTTTTTAACAGGGAATCACTCTAAAAATGAATGAGCTAAATCACTGTATCGTTGCAAGAATTATGCATGGGGGCATGATTCACAGGCAAGGTAAGTTTCATATGTATTTCTTTCTTTGCCTTCCTTAACTTTTTCTCCTGTAGCCTAGTCAAGAAAGTGTTTTTTATGATCCATATAAAAGATAGGTTTGTTATCTTTGATTTCAATCACTGTTGGCCTCCATTGGTTGTTGTTATCTGCACTTGCTCCACCATATAGATAATGAAGGGAGGGTATGTTAGAGTTCTGTTGGCTGGAACATCTCTGGATTGTTGTTAGATTGTGACTTACTAGAGACCATGGGAGATAAAGCAAAGTATCACATCAGGTCGCAGGATATAGAGGAGACATCTATTCTGGAATATTTGATATAGATATAAAGTTAAATAACAGTTTAAGAATTGCTTTCTCATTCAGGAATAAGATGTGCTATTTATAAATGAGGACATCACAGAGTTAGATGAATAATAATACAAAAATTAAATGGTAAGATAAGAGATGTCAAATTGATTAAATTCTTAATACCTGCTACAGTAAGTGCTGTTATTCTATGGAGGGAATTCACTAAGAACTGAAGTAGACGAAGAATGATTTTTTAAGATAGTGTAACTTCAGTTAACTCTCAAGGATTGACAGGGTTTGGACATGCAGATTTAAGCATTTTTTTTTTGAAAGGACTGAGTTATATGCACTAGTATTCAGAGGATGCTCCAAAAATGATTCTCCTGGCAGACTTCTTTTCTTTGACAGAGGGTTATTGTTGTACTTGACACCTCTTTCCTTACCCCGAGAGAACAAGAAGTAACACCCTAAGCATTTTAGTGCCTTATTCTCCTTGAGAGATGACCACTGTGTACACATGATAGTGTCTGGCATCACTGCTGCTTTCAGGGGGGTCTTTATAGGCATAGAGAGTATACAGCATTCCCCAAGAAGATGTTCAGTCTTAGATTCCAGTATGTATTTTTTGTTTGTTATTTTTAATAATTTGCTATATATTCAGTAAAATCATAAGATCATTCTTTCTTTAAACTCTCTTTGTTACATTACTGCATTTGCTAGGACCTATGGTCTTTAATGGAAGTGGTGTAGCAGACATCCTTGTTCTGTTCCTGTTTTTAAAAGGAATCTTTCCAATGTTTCCCCATTAACAATAGTACATACCTTTTATTAGGGCTAAGAAAGTTCCCTTATATTCTTAGTTGCTGAGCATTTTAATTGTGATTGGGTTTTGGATTAAATCAAACACTTTTTCTGCATCTGCTGTGGTGATCATTAATTTTTATCACCTTTGCATTTCTCAGATTAGTCATTGTGTATTATCTTGTTTTATGTACTGCTCTATTCTGTGTTCTAGTGTTTTGTTTAGGATTTTGTTATTTACATTTTTGAGTGACACTGGCCTGTAGTTAATTTCCCTTTCTTGTACTTCTCTGTCTGGTTTTAGTTTCAACGTTACATTAGCCTCATAGAATGACTTGGAGAGCATTCCTTCTTTGATGCTCTGCAAGACTTTCTATAATATTGAAATGATTAATACCTTGAAAGTTTGACAGAACTTGCCTATAAAAATATCAGAGCCTGATGTTTTAGTTTTGTTTTTTTACAACTGCTTCAATTTCTTTTACATTTATAAGGCCATCTAAGCTTTCTATTTCTTGAGCGAGTTTTGGTAAATTATATTTTCCTAAAATATCTAAGTTTTTAAATATTATTGTAGAAAGCTTCTTCATAGTATTCTCTTACCTTTTTATTCTCTGCCTTCTCTATAATTATGTCCTCTGTTCATTCCTAATATTGTTTATTTGTGCCTTCTCTTTTTTCTCTTGATCAACCTTGGCAGAGGTTTGTTCAAAAATGTACTTTGGGTTTTGTTCATTCTCTCCATTTTATGTTTATTTTCTGTTTGATTATTTTATAACCTAATTTTTTTTTTTTGA